GTATATAGATTTTTTTATAGTTATATACAGTATATAATATAGATTGGTAAGAAGAGAAATATAAAGATAAAAACCAGGTATAAGTTAAATGTAGTCTGCAGGGGTACTATAATTTTACACTAAACCTTTTTATTTTACAAATATTTGTTTGTGTATGCAAAATAATCAATCTACGTATGCTATACGTATGTAATGAACATGCATCCCATTCAAATTTCCTATTACAGAATATTTGAATGGATACTTTAAAATATAAAAAGAGTCCAATGTTAAAAATTTTTTGACCCTTTTTTTTTTAACTAACGCTAATGTTAACCACAAAGACTATTTTTATTCAATCGTATGTAAGTAAATTACTAATATCACATTTTTTGTTATAAAATTTGAAATTTGAAAATTTTTTTGTTAATTAATGAATTAACATCAAAGTTTTCATTATAGTGGGCGGACTTCATTGTAAATAGTTCCTGATAGGTGTAAATAATTGTATTATTGTTTGTGTTTTAATATATAATATGTAACAAAGAAATCGCCTATACTTGTACAGGTTTAATTAAATTTATGCATTTGGTAACTTGATAACGGAGGCTTGGAATAAATTACCTTTTTTGCTCTTTGATTGAATAAATATAAAAAGGAGGAGATTTGTGTTGTGAGTAAATTTTTGTTTTTCCTTTCCCCTTTAAAATGAGCGATGTTGGAATAGAAGGAAAAAGTAATCGAACGCATCGTAAAGCTAATCGGCTTTGTCCCGATTGTGATCGCCCGAGGAGATCTTATGGTTGGTGTACAAAATGTGAATCAAGATGTATGGAAAAAAACTTTCCTTTTTGGACTAGTGGAGATAGGGATTTAGATAAAATAATTCAATTTAGTCAGATTTCAGCGTTACAAACTTGTGATTATTTGGAGTTTATAAAATTTGAAGATATAGAATTTAATAATTTAATTGCTGAAGGAGGTTTTAGTAAGGTATATAAAGGTATTTGGATAGATGGACCTAGATGGAATTGGAATGAACTTGGGGACATTTGGTGTCGTAGTGGGCCAATAGAGGTTGCTTTAAAAGAACTTAAAAATTCTCAAATATTGTCACATGAATTTCTCGAACAGGTATTTTATGAATAAATTAGAATTTGGTTAATATTTGGCTTTCTTTCGTCTTTTTTTTTTTTTTTTAATATTTTATTTTATTTATTTTCATTTCACAATTGATTTTTCAGCTTAAAAGATATTATCAATGCCTGCAAAATGGGACAATGGCAGACTGTTTTGGAATTACAAGAAATAATGAAACTGGTTGTTATATGTTCGTTATGCGATATTATGAAAATGGAAACCTTTATGAATTTCTTGACAGAAATAAAGGAATTATTAGTTGGAGAGATATGGTAGATATGTTATGGGGAATTGCGAGTGGACTAGAAAAAATTCATTCAGAAAATCTATTTCATTCGAATCTTCACGGAGGAAATCTTTTGATTGAAGATGAAACTATTTCTACGGACGCAAAAATTGCCGATATCGGACTTCATGGAAAAGCAAATGAGCTAGTTAATCCTGAATACGTTATTGGTGTTTTACCTTATATTGATCCACAAATATTACTTGGAAATCACCAACCAAATAAAGCATCCGATATTTATAGTTTTGGAATAATCATGTGGGTTTTGGCAACTGGACTTAAACCACATCACAATAGAGCACATGATTTGAAACTCGCCTATGAAATTTGTTACGAGAATTTGCGTCCAGAGATAAATGAAGATCTTAAATCCGAAATGCCAATAGAATATTATAATTTGATGATTCAATGTTGGGATCCGTTGCCTGAAAATCGACCAACAGCAAGTCAATTAAATGAAACTTTGGGTAATTGGATTTCTGATATTTGTGATAACCCAAATCCTTCAGAAATTTCAAATAATTTCGGCGATGCAGAAGAGAGAAGATGGGAACTCATTGGTAAACAAAACGAAGAAAAAAATTTTCCATCTAATTTTGTTCATAAGGAGGCTGTTTACACTAGTCGTATCTTTGACTTTTCTAATTTAAGAAATCAAAATAATCAATATACTTAAAATTTCAAACAGCAACATGACTAGTGTTTATATGATTTTATATGATTTATGCTGCTATAAATCTGGAATAGAGAATGTTAATCGGTCTCAAAAAGCATATTAGTATGGCAAAATTGAGTTGGAAAAAAGAAAAATTTTAAATTTGGCATTAGTGTCGCGATGGTACCGAAAAATTTGGCAATTTGCATATTTCATGTTAATCATGTTTCTACAGTATTTTCTTCATAGGAAATAGTTTATGGGGATAAACTACTAGATTTTCTACTGTAGAATTTGTAATTTAAAATTTATGAAAATTTTCTAATTTTAAATCTACTTTATTCACTGTGAGGGACCGATCAATATCTCCAATCCATATTTATATCAATATTTCGTTTATTTAAATTATCCTAGATTGGAGATGTGATATTACGTAATATCCGTAAGTTTCGTATCGATAAAAATAACTCATAAGTGTACATAGAATGGATATTATGTAGCCTTTAAATGTATGTTCAATATATATAGTTAAAAATATATATCATATATTAGATTTGACAGTCCCTGCTTGCGAATCGGCAATCGATTGATTGGCTACTTAGTTGAAACGTCACCAAAATATTTGGTAGTCGATTGCAAACCAACTCATCAATCATTTTTTAAAAAAAAGATATATCTATCGTCTTAAAGTAGTTTTATCCAATTATAAACGAACCAATCAATGCTTAATACTCACGCAATCAACTTTGCGGGCTTATTTGTGCCAAAAAAAGGGGGCGGCAGAATCACGTGATTTACAACCAATCAAATTATATAATTTTGATGATCGCCGACGAAGCAAAACAAGAAAACTTGAAAAAACAAAAAATAGCAGTCTTGGGTAAGTTAAGTAAAAATGTCGGGAAGGCAAATTTACTTATATATAACTACCTAAAGCCTGCTTTAACCCTAATCCAAGATGACCATAACTCTAAAGTTAATTCGATAAAATACAGTCAGACCCCTATAAATGCAACCCCCCCTAAATGCAACACCCCCCTAAATGCATGCAAACACACTAGGCCCGCAATGGGACTTATAAATAAATGCACGTTCTTTATTCTGCAATTGCACGGTATTTTTCCGGCCCAACTATAGTAAGTTCCCTCCATAAATGCAACCACGTGACTATTAACCAATGAAAAGTTTGGATTTTTAGACTATGAAATGATCACATAATACGTGAGGTTAATAAAGGACAATCTCGGAAATACGTAATGTAAACTTAGATAAAGTAGAAATAAAATTTAATAAGCTCTACGATCTGTTTTAAAGAATTGTACGAAAAAAACTATAATACTTGACATAGGGTGATTCAAAGTTAACTTATTTTGACTCTTTCTGCTTCGAAATTTTGAAATCAGACCCCTAGCATTCATATATTCGACTTTTCGTTCTACTTTACATACGTATATTTATTTAGAAGATGAAATAGGTAACCTTATAAATTTCTTTTTCAATAATATTAATTTTTTTTTATGAGTACTATTAGATTATTCTTCTATTTTTTTATTTATTTATTTTTTTTTTTAAATCTTTGACAGTCTTGCCAGTGCTCAATTTATTGGGACTATATTTCAGGTGAGAGCTAGGCTCTCTCGAACAATATATATATTATTTATAACCAAAAAACAGTGAGTCTCGCGATTGCGAGCCTGACATCACCCGGCCGCGATAAACATATCTAACTGCG